GTTGCGTAAACACGATAGCCCGCCAAGCTAGCCGAGTCAGGCATTAGCTTCGAGTGGTAGAAAAGGATATACGATCTGTTCTGTTTTCTTTCTCGAGCTTATAGTAAAACTAGCAATATGATGTTGGACTTTAAGTTGCCGAATTGACGACATGCGACATTATTATCAATCTATTTTCAAAACTTTTACATATTTCTGTAAAATTATTATAATATATATTTTGTATTGGATTTTATATTTACAAATATGTAAATATAAAAATCCGCTGAATGTTTATTTTTAATTAATTATTTAATTAAAATAATTACCCAAGTAGCAAGATGATGCTATTATGATGATGATTTAAGGTCATTTTTCGTCATTCTACGTCAGTATATCAAATAATGATGTAAAATAAACATAACATTTGTCATGAAATATTATCGCCATAAATATATCTTCATTATTTTTAAGTCAATTTTTAATGAATAAATGAAATAACATTATTATTTACTATCTTTCTTAATTAATTATATTATAATATATAAATATTTCCCATATTTAACATACAATTATTAATAAATAATTAAATAAACAAATAAATAAAATATATACAACAATTTATAAACAATTTTTATAAAAACAATGATTCAATTCTTATTAAAAATAATATAAATTCACGGCTCTATATATGTAATTAAATTATCTACAAAAATTACATATGCAATCGAGATTTTAAAATTGAGACTATTTATACAACATAGTAACATTCATTAACCAGATCTATCATATTTTATGTCAAGATTCCATATTCACTTATATCATCATTTTAGTAGCAGGTTTCATTCTATATGCAAATTAAGCAGCATCAAGCAGGGTCTCAAGTAAGGATGGGTGGGCCGTTTTAGAAACATGCGGCGATAGAAGATAAAAGATGTTTTTAGCACTTTCACTTTTTTTCATTTTTTCATTTTTTTTACTTATTTTTCGTAAAAAGTGTCACGTATATTATAGATTTTTAGTACTAGCAGTCAATATCGGAACGTAATCGTTATTTTGTCGTCATAAGTATCACATCATCGGTCTGTCACTTATACGTCATTGTGTTCCTTTTTGACATCTTTTATGACGTAAATTTGATGATATTAATGACTTAAAATAGACATTATATTGACGACATCTTGCTACCTGGGTATTTAGTTAATTTAATTACTTTATTATTTAGTTTATTTAATTATTATAATTATTACTATTATTTAATTAATATTATTTAATTAATTATTTAGTTAATTTAAAAGATGTCCCTTATATTAAAACAAATTATTTCTACTTTTAATAATATTTAGATATTAACTAAAATTATAGTTTTTAATATAGGTTTTTATTATATTTTTCTTTTTAGAACAAATATCAACAAATACTTTTTCAAACAATAGTTTTAACAAATAAATTAATTATATTTTAATAACTAAGTGATTCAGAGTTAATATACAATACTATTATAGTAAATATTTTAGTTTTACCGACAATGAGAACAAAAAAAACTGGTGTAAAACTTGTGTGTAAAACTGGTGTCTCATTTTGCGGAAAAAATCGTACAAATTATTGAAAGTTCTGGCTTCCTTTTTAATAGTTTCTGAGAGATTAAACAAATAGTTTTTGCATTAAAGCGAAAAAATCGGTTTGGACAAAGTCGATAATTGTTATAGCTTTTATTCATTTCTTGAAGAAAAAAGTTTCTTTAACAAAAAGTTGTTACGC